CACACACACACACACACACTCACATGCACACATGTGTACACACACACACTTCATGTTTTTGACACTTGGTATGACTGATTGTCTCATGTACAAGTCAAACTGTGTCTCTGTCAGGTGGGTCTGTGTCGGGTTCTCAGGCGTCCGGTCAGGGAGGTCCGGGTGCGGCAGGAGCAGGGGCAGGTCTGACTACACAAGCCGCGTTTGAGTACCGGGGCACCTGGATCCCCCTCATGAACGTCAGCGTCCAGGGCAGCGCCAAAGCCACCTAGTGAGTGACCACACGCTTTCAGTAGTCACTAGTCTGTACTCGGGATGTGGGATACATTATTTTGAAAAAGTCTAGTCGACAAACTATTTGTTTACATCATTTTTTTGCACAATTATGTTTCGCTTTATATTTTTGCAAAGGCTATGTTCAAATTACTGTCATGTTAATGTTAATATTAATACATTATTTTGAAAAACCCTAATCGGCCTACTATTCTTTTACTTTTTTTGCACATTTGTTTTGCTTTTTATTTTTAAAAATGTTCAGCTGTTCAACTCATGTTAATGTTGCATTTTTTAAATTAATAGACATACTAGTTATTTACATTTTTTTTTTTGCACGATTATGTTTTGCTTTATATTTATATGTGTTGCATTATATTTTTCCAAAGGCTATATTCAAATTACTCTCATGATAAAGTTGCATTTTAAAATTAATGCATTAGTTTAAAAAAGTCTAGCTGACACAATAGTCATTTACATTATTATTATTAAATTTATTTGCACATATGTTTTGCTTTATATTTTTTAAAATGTTCCAAATTAATGTCATGTTAATGTTGCATTTTAAAAATGAATGCTTTTCGAAAAAGTCTAGTCAACATACGATTCGTTTACATTATTTTCTGCACATTTATGTTTTTTTCATGATATTTTTGCAAAGGCTATATTTAGATTTTTGTCTTGTTAATTGCTACATTTAAAAAAATGTATACATTCGTTTGAAAAAGTCAACATACTAGACGTTCACATTATTATTATTTTCTGCACATTTATGTTTTGCTTTTTGTTTTTACAAAGGCTATATTAATGTTACTGCCATGTTAATGTTGCATTTTAAAAATGAATGCATGATTTTGAAAATGTCTTTTTTTTTTTTTTTTGCACATTTATGTTTTGCTTTATATTTTTGTGTCATTTTGCCGCCTGTCATGTGTACAGGCACTTTTGATTCAGTTGATTTTAATAAATTCAGCAGCAATAATGTCTATATGTGACCCTGGAGCACAAAAGCAGTGTTAAGTCGCTGGGGTATATTTGTAGCAATAGCCAAAAATACATTGTATGGGTCAAAATTATCCATTTTTCTTTTATGCCAAAAATCATTAGGATATTAAGTAAAGATCATGTCCAATGAAGATATTTAGTCAATTTTCTACTGTAAATATATCAAAACTTAATTTTTGATTAGTAATATGCATTGCTAAGAACTTAATTTGGACAACTTTAAAGATGATTTTCTCAATATTTTGATTTTTTTGCACCCTCAGATTCCAGATTTTCAAATAGTTGTATATCATCCAAATATTATCCTATCATAGCAAACCATAAATCAATGGAAAGCTTATTTATTCATAATGCACAAATCTCAATTTCAAAAAATTGAGCCTTATGACTGGTTTTGTGGTCCAGGGTCACATATTGGCTAACATTGATTAAGCAAACACTTAAGTTTAATGTACAATGATCATAATGCAAGGCAAGCACATCGCATGTACGTGATCTGTTTTTCAGCAGCATTCAGTGTGGGATTTGACTGCTTGATTCATAGATTAAATAGACTATTGGATCGCTTATACAGACTGTATTTTGACTGTTGGTCTAACGTGTGTTTCTTCTCAGTCTGGAGATGCTGGATAAGGTGGAGCCGCCCTCCATCCCTGAAGGTTACGCCAATAATATGTAATATATAGTACGTGTTACGCTTTGCAATAAGGTTCCATTTGTTAGCATTAGTTAACATGAACTAACAATGAAAATACTTATTTAATATCAGTTAATATTTATTTTAACATTTCATAATGAATTATTAAAATCCAAATGTATGTGTAATGATTAATTATTGGACCTGAGCTAACATTGAACAGTTGTATTAATTATTTTTTATTAATAATTGATACTTTTATTAACGTTTAAAAATGTATTGATCATTGTTAGTTAGTGTTAGTTAATGCATTAATTAACGTAAACTAATCGACCTTTTTGTAAAGTGTTGCCCGTTTAACAAATGCAATGCAAGTGAAAAAAATACATTCTGTGGTAATATAACATATAATTCATAATGTTAACAGAAAATACAATACATTTTACAAAAAAATCTAATCATATATATAAACAAAGAATTTTATACATTTTACAAATAAATCTAGTCTAATATAACATAATATAATATATAAACAGAAAATACAATACATTTTACAAGAAATTCTAGTCTAATATATAAATGGAAAATATAATACATTTTACAAATATAATATAACATAATATAGAAATGGAAAATACAATAAATTTTACAAAACAAACCTAATCTAATATATAAACAGAAAATAATAAATTTTACAAATAAATCTAATCTAATAATATATAAACAGTAACATATAATTCTAATGATATGACAATATAATAAAATCTATAATATAATGTAATACAATAACTCTTACAAATATAATATATAAACAATAATATACAGTGGATTTTACAAATTAATCTAATATAATATAATAAAATATATAATATAATCAGTTCAGCGCCCTGCTGGATCTGGTGAGGGGAATCACCTCCATGATCGAGAGAGGACTCAACAAACAGGAACAGGAAGCCACCATGAGGGAGGAGGCGGAGCCTGTTAGTCCCCCACAGAGTGACAGCCTCCCTCAGGATCCCAGTGAGTTCATGCCGACATCACATTGGTTTGTTTGTGTGCGCTCGAAGACAACGCTCTGACATTATCATCACTCCAGACGTCTTTGAATCTCTCAGCCTGAAGTATTTTTAATGCTCTATGCTGACCTCTGGCTGTGACACAGGAACACAACAATATACTGCCAAACCAGTGTGTTGTAACTTTATATAACGTGGTGTTATATATTAGGGCTGCACGATTAATCGCATGCGATATTTAACGCGGATAAATCGCGATTAGGCAGAAGCTGCGATTGTCAATATAATAAAATCTATAATATAATGTAATACAATAACTCTTACAAATATAATATATAAACAATAATATACAGTGGATTTTACAAATTAATCTAATATAATATAATAAAATATATAATATAATCAGTAACAATATATTTTACAATTATGAAATATAATATATAAACAGTAACATACAATAATTTTTACAAATTAAATCTAATCTAAAACACTTTATTTTAGTGTGCTGTTGTTACATGTTACATGTACTTACTATAGTAAGAGTTAACTATGTATAATTACAAGCAACTAACATTATAACAAGAAGTACATCAACAACAGCACATTTAATTAAAGTGTGACCAAATATAGTATAATATAAAGATAAAATGATGCATCTGAATGATGCTTCAGTGTGCAAGTCATATAGTGGTTGGTATGTTTTTTACTTGAGCTTTGATAATAATTCTGATAATTAAGCTCAAAGAATCCCATCTGGATTGATTTATAGGGAAATTACAAATTAAACAGTTATATAACGGTTCAGTCAGTAAATGTGATAAAAAAGCATGTTTAAAGAATATGTGACCCTGGAGCACAAAACCAGTCATAAGGGTCAATTTTTTGAAGCTGAGATTAATGCATCATCTGAAAGCTGAATAAATAGCTTTCCATTGATGTATGGTTTGTTAGGATAGGACAATATTTGAAAATCTGGAATCTGAGGGTGCAAAAAAATCTAAATATTGAGAAAATCATCTTTAAAGTTGTTCAAATGAAGTTCTTAGCAATGCATATTACTAATCAAAAATTAAGTTTTGATATATTTACGGTAGGAAATTTACTAAATATCTTCATGGAACATGATCTTTACTTAATATCCTAATGATTTTTGGCATAAAAGAAAAATGAATAATCGTGACCCATACAATGTATTGTTGGCTATTGCTACAAATATACCCCAGCGACTTAAGACTGCTTTTGTGCTGCAGGGTCACATATATGCTGAATAGCAGGACACAGTCAGACACCAAATTAAGTGTGTTATACAGCACACAGCCCTAACCTGCTGAGTATGAATCCGCATCAGTGACGTGTGTTTGTGGTGTAGCAGTGTTTTGTTCCTGTGTTGATGCCGTATGTGTGTTTGCAGTGGCTAATGAGGTTTGGGAGGAGATGGTGAACGCCTGCTGGTGCGGTCTGTTAGCGGCTCTTTCACTGCTGCTGGACGCTAGGTATGAAACTCTTGTCTTTTTATATAACTATGTACTTAATCTTAATATATCACTATATGCTATTTCACATCCTAAGTGTCATTGTAATAGCTAAAGCTTTGTACTTGTGCTACAGTTCCTCTAGTTAGCATGTATTAGTCCTAGAGACTGAGTGCACTGATGATTTTTGACGTGTTTGTGTCAGTACTGATGAGACGGCTACAGAAAGCATCCTGAAAGCCGAGCTGTCCGTGGCGTCTCTGTGCGGTCGTCTGAGTTTGGTGACACCGCGTGACGCTTTTATTACGGCTATCTGTAAAGCATCTCTCCCTCCTCACTACGCCCTCACCGTCCTGAGCAACGCCGCCAACCTGTCCAATAAAGGTACGAGAGCAGTGCATGCTGACCTTCACACGAAATAAAGCAATAAGCCCCAAGAAGCCGTGGTTTACAGTGAATTTATAACAGCTAAGGGGCGTTGTTAGCCAACAAAGTAGTTGCCGAGCAACACACAGACGTAAACAAAGGTGTATGTTTGTAGAGTAATTTAAAACAGCTTCGAACGTGGCTCAGCCAATCAGAATCACGGACCGGAACTCT